ATAACTGTAAAATTGTACTGAAAAACTACACAATATTTAAAGGAATAAACCATAAAAATGAGAAAAGGTGAATATCAAGAGTCCATATTAACATTTCAATGGAGTCTTTCAACCACATGGACAGCTATCAAAGGCCTATGGAACTTAAACTGAGTCTGGAAAGAACACCAGAAAACATCCTCAAGATTTATATCTGGCACTAAATTAATATGAACATACTGTTACACATAAAATATACATTCAGAGCTACAATTAAAGTTAAAAGCTCAATTCAGGAGTCTTAGGAATATTGAATAGAATTTGGGAATATCAATAGTATCTTTAGTTGTATAAAAGTGGTATTTTTCATGGACGCCTTAATTATTTCCTTGAGTCAAATGTTATTCTTCCTGAAATTTCTGATAACTGTTTGTTAGTGATAATAGAGTTCTTTTTCCACAACAGTATAATACCTGATTCCCAACAACTGTGGTTGCCAAATATTAATTTGCTAAAGATACAATACAAACCACATTCTATTTGCTGAGCATATGTGAGTGGAATAAATTAACGTTTCCCACTACCAAAGCATTCTATTTAATAGAAGAAATACCTCTAACTGAAGTGCAAAATAAATCTTCCCAGATTTATTATATAGTTACATGTTTTACTTAGGTTTACATCTATTTTGATGTAAAATTCATAAACACTCAGTTTATTTTTCTATTTTTAAATATTTTTGGTACCAGGGATTGAACTCAGGACCTTGTGTTTGCCAGGCAGTTGCAGCTCCACTGAGCTACACCACTGGCTTAAACACTCAATTTAAATCAAACACAATTGGAAGTGCTTTTAGTAATATGTATGCATTTATTATTTCTTTGTAAAATAAGGAATAAGTGAAATACCTCCTTCTTTCTGATCTGGAAAAGTAGAATTTTAATGAATAGCTCATGGAAACTATGCTGGCTTCTTCAGAACCAGCAAATATATTTTATTTTCTTGAGTGCTAACTCCAGGACTTCTAAGGAGACCTCATGGACTTAGTCGTATATATTTTTTCCATTCTTATCTTTAGCAAAACATATAAGGTAAAAAGCAACATTCAAATAACTTTTTAATCCAAATATGTGGCAGTTGACTTTTTAAAAGCGGATGACTTTCTTCTGCTTCAATTTTCAACACCAAATACCTTATCTTCTACAAAACATCCCATTTTGTAGTTTTATCTCCTAAATATACAACTTCTCATAAGAAAATACACTTAAAGTATGTGTTTATGAAAGAGGTCAAGAAGACATCCAGTCAAGTGAGTTTTCAAAGCCACTTAGATATTATTGTGGAAGGCAGACTTTGAAGCAGTTGTTATCGATTACTTCACTTTGGAATGCTTGGTGCATATGGTTTCACTTTCCAACTAGCAGCTGGCTTCCTCAGACATTTTGATAAACCTGCCTTTCATTGAGCTCTCTAAGAGACATGCATGAAGTACTTATAAAAGAACATTACCTAAGTTGTGTCATCCTTACAATTTATTTGATTCCAACTAGTGACTTTGGTTCCTCTAAAAAATATGTCTGGAACTTCTAATAGAAATAAACACTTTTTGCTTTAAGAAAATTAAGTATTAAGAAACTTCCTTCTATATTTGAACTCTCATTTACACTACACTGATAATGTAATCATTTAAGTAAATGTAGAAAAAGGTGCAAATTGCAATGTTATGGACAATGGAACCATGCCTTATGCTATCAGCATTTCAAGCCTCTCCCCTCACCTGTGGTTAGTAAACCTCCTTAAATACATTTCCATAAACTTTTGTTCTTTCTTTTCACAACATATATACCTCTACTTACTTGATAAACATTGGCTTTCTCCATTAGGGAAGAATCTCTAAATCACTGTTTATCTATTGCAAAATATACGTAACTTGCTTAGCTGAACTTAAATTAAAATTATTCTTTTACTACAAAAAAAAGCCTCAGTGAATTCTTCGAGTAGAAAATATACTATTACAAAATTGATGGAAAGTATGAATGGAACGATGAATAATGAATGTTGGTATTAGCTTTTGCTCTTCTCTCTTGGTAAATGAATTCACTGTTAATAAATGAATGATTCAAATAACATTTATCAATTAAATGCTTACTCACAACTCTGTACTGCAAGATCCAATCATTTCCCTAGAATTTGAGAGTCACATGTCTACAATTCTTCTGGCATCTGCACTGAAACAATTATTCAAACTCTTAAGATCAGTAAATTTAAAACTCTTGGATGATTTTCCTTTCATTCAAGCATTTATTCCATTCAGTTCTAGTGTTTACTTTGTGCCAATGATTATAGTATGCCCCAGCCAAACACCATTTTTGCTTTCATGGAATTGAGAGCCTAGGGAATAATACAATCTGACAGGTTACATAAGATGTTAAAATATGGGCAACAGAGGATGCTACAGGAACATACAACAGGATGTAACAGAAGTGGCATTTATGTCTAGATCTAAGATAAGTAAAAATCAGCTAGATAAATGGAAACCTGAGGATCATGGGTAAGGAGATGCTTCAAATACAGAGTACAGCATTGTAATGACTTGAAAGACAGATGCAGGAAAAATATAAAAGCTAAAATTATTTGGGTACTGATGGAAAGCAGTCTTTGAGGGGAAGGACTGTGAAATATGAAGGCAGAGATTTACAGAGAAGTCAAATCATGGATGGGCCAATAAATCATGTGAACATATTTTGTCTTAAAGAAGGCTGTCATTCAAAGTATTTAACAACAGTGCACTTACCAATCACAACAGATACTTGCTTGAACAACCTAATTAGCAAACACTAGCTTATGGATATACTGGCTGAGTGCTGGCTCAGTCTCAGAATTCAATGCTTTTGAAACATTTTAGGGAATCTCAACTAAATGTGCAAATATGTTGGCAAAAGAGAAGAGTGGAGACATGAGAGCAGTTATTAGGCTGGTCCAGGGACAGTGCTGTAAGTGAGAGATAAATGTGACCCACACCACAACAGGATAAGCAGAATGAAGATCCTGTCTGTGTTCCAGAGATATCTGGAAGGTGTAGTTCCTTAGCAGCTTTTAGTTAAAAGAGTAAAATAGCTTTCATGAATGGATATGAGACCTGTCTTGGGGAGAGCCAAGTTTCAGTAGGTACTGTGTCATGGAAACTAGGAATGAAGTCTAAACTAAAGATAAAGATTTGGAAGTCAGTCCTCTACAGGACAAAATTAATAGATGAGGAGACATAATGAGATGGTGTGGAGTTGGAAAGAGGTGTCTTGGGACAAATATTAATCCCTCTTCCCTTAGCATCTTTAATCTCCACCTCTAAAAACATCAAACCCTTCTAATGTTCTTCCCAACTAATGGCATAAAATCCCATCTGTTCTATTTTCTCTCTTCAAAATGTATCCTCCACAATTTCCTCAGAATGATACTGTACGAAACTCAAGGATGCTGTTCTCAGTCACCAGCATCAAGGCTTTCAATGAGTTCCCATTACTTCTTAACACGATTAACTGATTTGTGGTATTGGGGATCGAATCAGGGCCTACACAGTAAGCTACATCCACAACTCCTTTCATTTTTTACTTTGAGACAGGATTTTGTTAAATCTCTTAAGTTGCCACACTGTTTAGCAACTGGTGAATCTCCAACCTCAACTCAAGTACTAAGATTGCAGGCATGTGCTCCTACCACCCCAGCTTTCCACTGCTTTTAGAATATGAGCAATCTTTTTCTTTATCATATTTTATATCTTTATCATATTACATCTTTATCATAGCTTTGAATTTCTGGCCTATATTTTCCTCTAATATAACTATTCCTGTATTTTCTATGTTAACAGTATTCTAGGCTTCCTCAGTTCTTGGGAACTACTGTGTTCTCTCTGACCACAGTACCTTTGCACACTTCAAGTTAGTCTTATAGACTAATTTCCAACTGGGTGGAATATTCAATGGAGCAAGTTATGGCAGTAATCTTAATTTTCCATTATGCTATATTATACAGTAAGTTTACAATCATGTAGATCAGTTAATGTGTGTATAAAATTAAATTTGCTATCATTATATCTCATATAAATCAAATCTTTCAACATATTTTTCCAGCATTCCCTTTTCCATTTAAATGGTCGAAGAATAATCCTGAAGGTAGCCAGATAGCTGCTGACAGTTTAACTCTAAATAGCTTGGAAGTTATTAGAAGCACTACAGTTTTGTCTTTGTGGGAGAAGTGTGCACAGGCCAGCCTGCTGCATTCAATTGCTCCAACTCATATGAGGCCAGCAGCAAACACACTGTAAATAGCACACCCACAGGTACCATGAGCACACAAGTGTGTCCTCCCACAGCCAGCCTCCTCTTCCACCCAAGAACTGAAGTGCACACGTGTGCATGTGCTTTGAAAAACTGTGAGCCGAACTCACCTGCAAGATAAGCTTATCAATTATGTATTAGCAGCTTAACATCTAATGGGCATTAGAGGTTATTCAAAATACTTAAGATGTAATGTCAGAATTATCTCCATTGCTCTTGGAGCAAACACATAAATTTGTTTCACTTGTTGGCTTATTTCAACACTACACCCCTGTTTTGCAGAACACATGGATATATTTATAAATTTGGCATATGGAATCTGTGCTATATCAAAAAGAAGCTTTAACCACTTAAAACTATTTTATTGCCAAATGAAAATCTATTCCTGATGATCAACACACATACACACACTATGTATACATCTATGCATGTGTATATCTATTATTTTCTCCATCAGGTTTTGATTCCACGATATGAAAATAGTTCCTAAATCATCAGTTACTTTTTTGTGATAGTGCATCATTAAAAACGCAAAATACTGAAACATTTACTCCATTCCCCAAGGAAAATGTGACAGATTCTGACTCCAACTAAGTTACTTTAATCAACAGGAAGCTTACGGCCCTTCCTCCTACAGCAACGGTCCACCCCAGGGGCGTCCAGGTGGAGCTGAGAGGAGACACCTACCGTCTTGCTGAGGTAGCCCATGCTGGTGTTCATGCATTGCACCCCCTCGCTGTTGCAGCAGCCCCCACATCTGTAGACGGACACACATGGAGGTTTAAAGAAGGTGTTTGTTGCTGCTCCAAACTCCTTCCCCACATCTATACACACCTCACGTGGCATGCATTGCGTTTTTCTCCATTCGTTATCAATACCTGTGGAGTCACAGGGAAGTCCTTCAGTTATACAGAAGCCACCAATGGGGAAAATTTCAGAGCAGTTGGAAGTTACTCACATTTGATATCAGACTTTAAATATAATATATGAATTTTGAGAAATAGCTGACAGGATCCTAAATTGGCCTGGGAATGGGAATATATATTTAAAAGGGAAGTTAAGGATTTTTTTTTCTTTAAAATCTCATTTTTGTAGACATGTAGAAAGCTAAATAATTAGGATTAAGCTTTTAAAGAGTACAGCACTTATGTTTGGTTTTACTTACTGTAGAAAATGGCGATTTAACATATGGATGTTTACAAGATATGTAGAAATAGAGACATTTGTTTGCTGTAGTATGCAGTGTTTTCTGGTTTAGAAGCAAACATAAACAATATGATTTTATTTTTATTTTAAACTGAGATGTAAATGAAAAAAGATGACAATGGTTTTGGAGTCAACTCAAAAATCATTTCTAGGTCGACTACTTGGCAATTTTGGATAATGTCACGCATGGCGGTAGCTCCTGGAAATGCAAGGCAAATTTCCACCCATCAAGACTTTTATCCTGCACTAAATTTTTTTAGGACAATCAAATTTCCTGTCTCTTTGTGCTTTATCTTAGAATCCCGTTTACAAGGGGTTAGAGGATTGCCTATGACATTGTTGACTCTTTCCTGCATTACGAATGTGGTACTTCCTAAATGTTCTATTTTATTTCTCCTATATTTCCTCTAAAATAAATACTTGGAAAATAAAGGATATAAACTATTGCTTATTCAACTACAAAGCCATTTTTGTTTTGCTTTTAAAATTCATTGCAGTACCACTCCTTTACAGTAATATCTGATGACTAAATAGAATTTTTAATAATTAGCCCACCAACTTATATTATTGTTTATTCAACATTATAAATTCTGTTAAATTTTATGCTAGGTATTTCATCAACTTTACAAAAGTATAGTTCTGACATAGTTTTCTGTGAGCAGCAAGTCAACAATTAGCATTTGCAAAAGTGATCTGGGCTTGTTTTGAGATAATTTAAGCATTTGTAAATCTAGATAAGAAAGAAAATTTATATAGAGATATTCAGTAGATATACAAAGTTTAAACACATTGGCCTGTGAATGGGAATATATATTTAATAGAATATTTAACGTAGTGTATAAAATATATTTATATGTTTTAAAAATTTTACAATAGGAAGTTACTTCAATTTTTAAAATACTTGCATTGATATGCAAGCACCTTATTTTGTGTTTTTAAAAAATTAACAACACTCAGAATTAAATCACAAAATATATTTTGAAACCAAGTCATTACTATTTCCCTTACATTCAGGCCTTAAATTATATTGAGTGGTACAAATGCTGGGTGACTTACACTGGATGGACACAGGAGGCTTTTTACACATTTTCTATCTGGTACTTACTTTTCAGGATTTCTGCATTATAGTGAGCTGCAGCAAATTTTATAGACTCTTCTGTCCTTGTGTTGAAGCTGGGCTGTTCTTTATTATATTGCCAGCCTCCTTTCCTTAACTGACACTTGTACATTTTCCAATATTCTGGGTAGAGTACAGACATTAGTTCATCGACACTTGACACAGACCTCAACTGCTCCTCCAAATCCTTGCCTGTATAAGCCTGTCAAAGAAAAATACAAGATGAATAACTTACCAAATTAAGAATCAGGAAAAGGATGTAGTAAAAAACCTAAGGTTTAATGTTAATCATGATATATTCACTAATAAAATAGTATATTGAATCCTGATTTAACTATTTTGATAGAGTTGCATTCATATTTTAATTTGGCTGAATCTATGCAATTAACAATGTATACATTTTTTGTTTTTAAGACAAAACTTATGTGGGGATATAATTTTTACAATAATTTTAAAATGGGTTATTTTATTTATATTTCTTTTACATAGTTGGCAAATTTTGACTTTAAAAATGTATTCATTAGTATTACTCTCCTATATACATAGAAGTCTGATGAAATTCACTCTAATTCTTTAATTTTCAGTTAGGAGTATCAATACAATACAAACAGGGTGGTTGAATTTAGGAAATTAAAAGGAAAGCTATTTTATAATAAATAATCATGTGAAAACTGAGATTTCTTTTTTGTTTGCTTTTTCTCACTGAGTTTATTGGTGCATTTTAGGTATACAGTACAGTTACATTCATCATTGGGATCTTGTACCTTTATATGACAGATCTTGGTTCTCATTTTTTCCCCATACCCCTGCTTCCGTTCAACCCTCCCCCTCCCCTATTTACAAAGACTTTCTTTCCATATTTCAATAATAGTGTCACAGCAAGGTCTGTATTTTGATAGACCATCCCAATATTTAAAACAATGGATTAGCAAAAGTTACAATGCTATGAAACAGATATAGTTCAAACATTTTATATGTTTATAAATGATTATTTACATAAGTGTATCTAGTTAAGTAGAACAGTAAAAGTTTTATTCAAGTAGTTATATGTGTAACAAAAATATTTTTTTCTAAGTTGTTCTTTGTATTAGGGGCAAATGGAACTTTTACAGCTCTATCTTCAAAGTGAAATTCAAAATCAACTTCCCTCCCCGCAATCCATTGTTCCCTTCCCATTTGAAAAAGATCTTACTACTTCCTAATATTTAGCCTGTCTTTTGTTACTTATTTATAGTCTGGATTTTACACAAGAGAAACAATGTGATTTTGAACTTGTGTGTCTGATTTATTTCTCTTCACATTATAGTCTCAAGGTGCATCTATTTACCAAAACTGCCCCAAGTTTATCCTTCTTTATGGTAGAGTAGTCCTCCATTGTATATAAATATACATTTTCTTTATCCATTCATCTGTTGATGGGCACATGGGTTAATTTCTAGACTTAGCTATTATAAATTGGGCAAACATTGGTATGCACAAATCACTGTAGTATAATGATTTTAACTCTTTTGGGAAGATACCTAGAAGGGAACAGCTAGATCAAATGTACCTTATAGTTTAAATATTTTGAGGAAGTTCCCTACTGGTTTCCATAGTGATTGCACAGATTTATATTCCTACCAATCGTGGAGAAGGGTTCTTTTTTCCCCACAGCCTCACCATTTGTTATCAGTTGATTTCTTAATGATAATTATTCTTTCTGAGATGAAATCTCAGTGTTTTTGTAATTTGCATTTCTTGAATGATCAGTAATGCTGAACATTTTTGCATGTATTTATTTGACATTTGTACTTTTTCATCTGAGAAGTGTCTATTCATTTCAGATGTCCATTTTTGGATAGGGTCTTTAAATTAAGAGGGGGGGTCTAATTTTTTTAAGTTCCTTATATATCCTAGATAGTAGCTATTTTTAATAATCTAAATTATTTTAATGAGGTTATTTCTGTATTATATTTAGAAATACAATCTAGTGTTACTGTCTTATACTATAGAGACAATATACTATGAAAGGTGTTCCTTTCCCTTAGACTACGAATGAAATTGTCTATGGATGTTGGGTTTCTCCTTTAGTTTCAAAGAAGGTGACAGAATATCTTATCCGTTTCCCAATTGAATGTTTGCGGAATATTTGCCTGAGGAAAATCTCATATATGACATGAAATTTCAGGATCAAAAGTGTTTTGTGACCTAAAAGCATTGCTAACCAGAGAAAAGGAGAAGAAAAGTAAAAATGATTGTAAAACTCACATTCTATGCCAGTTAATAAATATATTATTAATTAGCTTGTAATTATTTCACAATTCATATCAAAATATCATACTATACACTTTAAATATATTTTAATTGTCAATTGAAGCTCAATAAAGTTAGGGTAAAAGCACATGGTTATGTTTTTGGTCAATGTTACTACAAAATACCATAGATGGCTTTTGTTAACCTCTGCTTGCAGAACAGTGTCAGAACCAAGAAGCAACGATGGACTGAGTGTAACTGGAGGCCCCTGGAGCTTCTTCCTCTACAAGGAAGCTAAGATTAGGTCATGAATGGACAACACCATTGCTAGGATAGATCTGATTGTTACAAAGAGGAGCCGCAACAGAACTCTGTTTTGCAATGCAATGAAATATATGAAAGAAATTTTAACAAAAAAGATGGCACTAAAGAGGAATTTTCAGGTAAGTTTTAAGACAAATTACTCTTGTACTTTAAAATTTAGAAATGGAAAGTAACTGTAACAATATTTACATTTGTCATGGAAAACAAGGCATTGTCTAACAGATTAGTGGGAGAAAAACACAAACAAAATTCACAACAAAAAGCAGAGTGTGTGATGCACACTCGTAAGCTCCAAGGAGGCTGAGACAGGCCAGCCTGGGGACACAGTAAGCTCAAGGCCCACCTGAGCTACTTAAAACTTTAAGATTGTGCCTCAAAAAAATTACAATAGAGTAGAAAATAGTTATATTCATATTCTTAGTCTGAAAAGGTGAATATAAAAATACAATGTAAGATATTATGTGTATAGCAGAAAACTAGAAAAAAAACAATAAAGTAGAAAAATTTTTGCAATATATGTAATGGATGAAAAGTGCTCATATTCTTAGACTATTCCAAGAATAGGTTAATAAAAATAAACTCTATATCTGGGGATTTGTCTAAGTGGCTCTGCCGCCTGCCTCTCAAGCGCAAGGGCCCAAGTTCAATCCCTGGTAGCAAACAAGCAAACAAACAAACAAATAAAAATAAACTGTAGATCACTTCAGTAGATAGATGGGCAAAGAATTCGAGATGAATAGTCATAAAGAACACATATTATTAATATATATTGGATGACAGTAAAAGTGAAATAAATTATAATTCCTTTAAATCCCAATGTGAATATAAACTATTATGGTTATTTAAAGAAAATACTATATTACAAATTAAAGAGTTTAGTAATGCTTTGTTTAGACAGTTCATTTATTTTAGAATTAAGTTTATTCTCAAACAAAATGATATAAATATGCACCGAATTTATACAATACACACACCCACACAAGGATCGGATGTATAGTATAATCTTTCCACAAAAAGTTTGTATATAGGCTGATCACATGCACATCTTGTATAAAGCCTTAGAGTAAAAGATAAGCAGCAAATATGAAATAGTTATTTTCTCCAAATTGTAGGATGAAGGTAATTATACTATTCTTTATATATTTCTGTATTTTAAATTTTAAATAATGGGCATATATAACTTTTTATAATCACAACAAATTTTTCAAAGTATCCATCCCTCAGCAAACTGCAGTCTATATGATTAGTTCTCATTTCATTCTTTCATTTACTTTGCTGCTCTAATATATTATATTTAATTTATGACAATCACTGGCAGAAGCAGGGGCCATCACAGAAAATGGAATAAAAATGGCTTGAAGACTGAGCAATTCATTTATTTTTTGTAATAAACAGAAATTATTATACTGTACTTGCCTAAAAGAGAAAGAGGCTTTAGCAACAAAAGATTCATAATTCCACACTGAAGATGTATTTACTTTAAAGATCATATTTATTTTTTTCTGGAATGGAATCATCATTGACTCTGTTCTTTTAAAACAACAAAATGATATCAGATATATTAATTCTCTCTTCCAGATATGACTGCAAAGTATCACTACACAGATGAAGACGAACATAACAAAATCAATAATTTCAAGGAGAGATGCTTTCCCCTAGGGACTTTTATCAACATCTAAGGACAATTTCAGTGTTCAGAACTGTGGAGACGATGCTACTACCGGCACTAGAGAGTAGAGTCTAAGGATGGTGCGAAACATTCAGTAACACACAGTACTATCTCCTACAGGAAAGCAAAAACAAAAACAAAGCAAAGCAAACAAAACACAAGTTAATGTGTCAGGTAGTGATATGGGGAGAACCCCACAGTTGAATAAGAGTAAGCTTTTTTTGATAAGATAATTTAAATGTATATTTACAAGCCTCTTAAGAACATGCTGGCAGTTTGAAAATCTGCAGGAATTTCCCCCCTTAAAAATTCCTTACACACATTAGAATGAGTGAATCTAAAATATAACCAACAGCTGTACTTAGTAATTGTAACACTTTTTTAAAAATTCATGTTTTTGCCAGGATAACATTATTTATCTTTTTACATAGGCTTTTCTCAACAATGCTTCTGTGTTTTTCAATGATGAGAGAAGGTAGTAGTTTATACATAGTATTCCTAGATGCATACAAAACTTTCTTAATTATTTTCCTTTGATAGCTTAAAATTTCAAAAATAAATTTTATCTTTAAAAAATATATATTTACAAAATTCATATGAAGTTAAGATATGTAATGAGTTAATCAAATATTTATTTTTAGGACATTTTCTTTGATATTCAGAAGACCAATTGAGGACAATGCTATATGCGTAAATACAGCCAAAATTCAAGAGCTTGGGTGAGGAATTTTAAGGATTTTTTGAGAGTGTTTCCAATGTTAGGCTAAGATCAAAATAAGAGATGTCACAAGAACTAAAATAAATTATAACGGTGGATGAAATTAGAAGCTCCCCTATCTGGGGGCTTGGCTGGAGAAATGAATGTTTATGAAGGGGCCTACTGGGACAAAAGCAGGTAGGCTCTAGAATATATGGTTAAAGGTTAGGGAAGTGTGCTAGGTTTGGCCATTGTTCTTCACCCTGCCCAATAAATAACTTAGATCAACCTCAAGAATATCATGTAGCAGACCTCCTTATTCTTTGACACAATTGCTCAGCCAAGCTGTTTTTCTTCCTGTATTTCCTTGAAAAATAAAAGATAGAGGTCTTGGTTTGGGTCTGCTCCTTTGAGCACTGGATGCTCTGGCCAGTTCCTCTGGGCCTCTGTGTTTGGACCAAATCTTGTTTCCAAGTAATCTTTGCACCCTCCACATCACCGTGCCACACTGACACACCCACTCTTTTGTCTTGTGCCCTACTTTTGCTACTCCTAGAGTTTATGCTTTCATTACATTCTTATTGGAAGCTAAACTTGACTCCTGTATTCCTTATTTCTGTTCTCTCTTTCAATACATCCTATGTAAACCAGCGTATCACTGTTCTTAAAGCATAATGCTTACTGGTTTAATTCCCTAATGGTCACTCTTGATGTCTCAATAGCTAATAAAGCCCATACACATTCTGAAAGTCCTACTGAGCTTTTCTTTAATTGTAGGTAATAATAAAAATAAGACCCAAAACTTACGTTTCTCCATTAATTAAACATATAATATACTATACCTTGAAAAGCTGCTCTTACAATGTTTACAATAATTGTGAAGTACACAGGAAGAAAGCAGGTGTTCTAGGTAGTCATCTGTCCCCAATAATATTTTAAATAATAAAGAGTAAAGGAGAGAAATATTGTGATTTATGACTTTCATTAAACAACTACTATGTGCCAAGGAATATTCTAGGCATGTTACTCTTAGAAGGAAAGTCTCCTTGACCAGGGATTTGGTTCAGTTGCACAGTATCTGCTGTGCAAGTGGAAGGTTGTGAGTTCGATCCCTGGAATAAAGAACAAGTAAAAAAAAAGAAAGTCTCCTTTTTCATGGAATATAAGCCAGAAATTATGCCTCCTTTATTTTTTACAGCTAAGAATGTTATCAGCTCTTTGACTTTATTTCCAAGGAACTAGTTAATTTTAAGGCATACCATACCTGTTTTGAATGTTGTAATTAATTTCAGATGAATTTTTTCTTGCTTATGAGCTTTTGTGTCTAAAAGATACCAGAAGGGAGGGATGTCTGTTGCTATGAGACAATGTTGAGTAAAACAAAGTTGAATTATTTGACCAGAAGTACTGTGTCTAAAAACACAAAAAATCTATTTTGCATTCTTACTAACCCTTGAGCTGCTAAATTTCTTCTATAATTACAATCTATTTAAAAATTTTTACAAAGTAGCAAAATGTGAATTCTACAGATGATTTTCTTATTGTCTTAATTCACAGATGATTTGCCTATATTCTAAGATGTTGACTTTGGACAACTATACTCTGGTTCTGGAAGGGGTATGTGGATATGTTTGTGCTAAATATGAAGTGATGAGTAGTATGCTGAAGGTATACGCACAATAAATCAGCAAGCTAGACAAATGACTAAATACTATTATCATATCTCATTTATCAGCAAGACTCTGGAACTGTTCACTAAAGTTAGTGTCACTTAGCTTGGAAAAGGCACTTATTTCAGGAAACCAAAGATACTCTCTTATCAATTCACGTTCTCTTAAATATTTAACTTCTAGAACAACACATTGTTGACTCTCAAGGCTGCTTTATAAAAACGTTAAGCCAAAACAAATTTCTCAATTTTATGCTAAACATCTAACTTCACAGTAACCTCCTATATGTAATTCACCTTTTATAAAATTTTTAGCAGGTATAACATTGCAAATATCTTGTGGTTTTAAAAAGAAAAAATTTAAAAATATGTGGATGGGACAAGGGGGAAAAATGAGAACCAAGACCTGTCATATAAAGGTACAAGATCCCAGTAATGAATGTAACTGTACTGCATACCTAAAATGTACCAATAAACTCAATGAGGAAAAAAAAAATGTGGATGGCTATGGTGACAAGTTTTGCTGCAATTATCTTGGTCTTAATAAATTAGAATGTAAACAAGCCAGAACTAGGTTGAAGACTCAGTTTACCTTTTAACATACATATATCTTATGTATTTGTTTTAAGAAGTAGGCAGATGAATAAAGGTCCACACTAAATAAGAGATGAAAAATTACATTAATTAAATATTCAGTTATTATTCATAAACTAAAATTTAAGATTTCAGTTTACAAAAGGTGTAATTATAGGGTAAATTTATTACAAGTTTGAAATCTGACCTCTGAAGGTCACACACAGGGTTAAACATTTACATTCTAAATGTTCTGTATCAAAAAGGTAGAATTAGTGTTTAAAGTTTCACTAGAGGAAACAATCTATTTAACTACTACAAACTTCAAACACTTGACTCTTCTACTCTGACCACAATTAGCTTCATGACTCTAAAATATGGCTAAGCATTAGCCATCTCAGTTCAATGGCAGTACAATGAAATATTTTATATCTACTAATGTTTACCAGGTATATTTCTATATAGCAAGTGTATTTGGCAAGGCGGACTTCATTTTAACGTAAGTGGAAATAACATTCTTTAATCATTCCCTTCCTTCTCAAAAGATATCAAGGAATTTATTACAGGATGGAGGGAGAGAGCACATGCAAATGATAGCTGTCCAAAAGAAAAACAATATTTATTCATTAATCAATCGATCATATTATGCATTAATACAATTAGTATTTATTGAATGTTTAGGTGGAAGAAAATTTTCCAGGTACTGAGAAAGGAACAGTAATAAATCAGAAATAAATACTTTCTCACAAGGGAGATGAAACATGTATAAAATACAAGAAGATAGACAGCAGTAAGTACCCCAAAGAAAGGACAGTTTTGGGGATTTCTTAGGAAGTAGCTAGCTATATGGCTAGGGTGGAATTTCAATTTTATTGGCTTTGGGACCTGCCCTGGGGATTCCAAGACAGTGTGGGTGCATCACGGAAGCAAGGCCTTGGCGTCTGGGTCTGGTCTGTCACCCCTCTGCTATGACACTCTTCCCCTGCTCTGATTTCCAACTGCCATGGACAGGTTATCTTTGCTCCCTCACGTCCTTCTGCCATGATGTTCTTACCTTGGAAACAGCCAATCATGGACTGATACTGTGAGCAAATGCAACCTCTCCACCTTTAAATTATGGGTGTTGGGTATTGTTTCTCAGTGCCAAAAAAATCTGACAAATACAGCGTCATTATATCCAGTTGTGTTAATCAAAGAAGAAGCTCACAGTGGAGCTTATATGCATATCTATAAACAGAACATCTATATACTGTACTCCTATATACTATATGTAAGCAGGACTGCAGACACCAAACATACCCACTCTCATTTAAAATATACACCATTAGTTTAAAATTATTGTTCTGAGAACAAGTTTTTGTTTTTCAAAATGAATACATACAAAATGATTTAGAAATTTATATTTTAATTAATTTTCTACTGAAAATGACAGTTCCGTGGAACAAACCAGATAATTTCCTCCCAGGACTCTTCTCACGAGGGCCTTTCTTTGACCTTTTGTGTGCATCCTGAGAAGCCCTGTTACTATAGTTTGGATACTGAATGTCCTTCAGAGACCCATGTGTTAAAGGCTTGCTCTTCAGGGTGGTGCTGTAAGTGGTAGGGCCTTGTGGGAGACCTTTGGGTCATTCGGGCCATGCTTTTGAGGGGGATGTGGGACTCCGGCCCCCTCTTCTTCTCTTTTGCTTCCCAGCATATGACGAGGTGAGTGGTTTTGCTCTGCTAGGCACCCCTTTCATGATGTGCTGCCTTACCACAGGCCCAAAAGCAATAGGACCCCTTGATTATGGGCTGGAACACCCAAAACGGCAAGCCAAAGTAAATCTTTTTTTCTCCATGAAGTAATTACCTCAGAGATTTTGTTACAGTGATGGAAAGCTAATACACCAGTTTCATCAAGAATTCTGTTAAGTCAGTTTAGAAAGAAAATTTTCACCTCAAATAGCTGACCACCCTGGATAACTGATCAAGTTCCACATCTGTCTCCAGATGATATATGGTCACCCCAGCCTGGAGTCCTATTAAGTGAGCTTAACAAGAATTTCCTTTGCCTGATGTTTCCTTCAAGTTTTCATTCACCAATTTGCATATCCAGGCTTTTACTGGACTATCAACCCCACCTACTCTTGTGTTTGAGGTTGAACCTGAGACTTCTCCCTATGGCAAAACTCTTGACATGTATCACAACAGTCCTGAATAAAGCCTTTCATACCTTTTTAAAAATTACTTTTTTAAAAAAAAAGTATCTTGCTGTGTGATTCAGTATGTCTTGAACTCACTATGTAGCCCAGGCTGGCCTTGAACTCCCAGGGATCCTGTTCAGCCTCCCAAATGCTCAGATTATAGGTGTGTGCCACCATGCCTGGCTTTCATACATCTTTTTCTTTCTTTCTTTCTTTCTTTCTTTCTTTCTTTCTTTCTTTCTTTCTTTCTTTCTTTCTTTTTTTGGTACCAATGATCGAACTCGGGTCTTTGCACTTGAGAGGCAGGCAGCAGAACCACTGAGGCAAATCTCCAGCCCCTTTTCTACCTTTTAAAAAAGTATCAGAACTTCTTTTTATTTCACAATGATTACCACCAGTTCATTTATTTCATGTCAATTTATTCTCATTCCAATTACAAATACTGTCCAACTGCTTTGATCTCTCATTTACGGTTTCAGAAAACAACAACGAAAACATGTTTCATACTTCATTGAGAAAAACAGATGTTCAATAGCAACTCATTTATGTACATTGAGTTTCCCAATATTTCTCCAAAGCTACTAATTGCACAGGTTTTTGCGAACTTTCTGTTTACTGTTTCTGTTGTAGCAACACTTGACTCATTTCCTATTGTCCTCTCTTCAGCATGTTCTCCTTTTCTCTCTCTTTTTTCTCATTCCAATTAGTATGCAAATTGCTGCTCTCACAAATTTGAAAAACAGATACAAGCATACAAACTAAAATAGTGTCAAGCAGGGCTGGGGATTTAATTTAGTGACACCATGCCTGCCTTGCAAGCAGAAGGTCCTGAGTTTGATCTCCAGTACCAAAAAAAAAAAAAAAAAAGTATCAGGCAGAAGGAAGGCCCTCAATAAACCTATATCATTATTGACCTTTGCATTTTTCTTCTTTCTTTCAGAGCTTAAGATTTTTACTTTTGTTGTTGTCATTTGAGACAGGTCTTGCTAGGTTTGTCACGTGGGCCTTGAACTTACTGTGTAGCCCAGGCTGGCCTCGAACTCACAACCATCGTTATGCTCAGCTTCCCAAGTGCTGAGATTACAGGCATGTACCACCACACCTAGCCAGAGTTTAAATATTTGAAAGGTGTGTCTATATGTGCACATTTTTCCATTTCCCAGGCTTCTGTCTACACTTGAACTTGTTTCCTGTTCCCATTTTTCCACCAGAAGCAGGTTCTAATAACTTGTATGGATGCTCTTTGCCCCTTCATATCCTCTTTTGCGGGATACTGTTTTTCTCTTCAAAATCATGTGCACTTTGTCTCCCTGAGGTCATGCTCTTCCTCTCTCCTTTTTTGGTCCGTTATTATCAACACCCTTTGCTAACTTCTCTTATATCCATAATTCCAAATTTTCGTTGTAAGGTTTCAAAATAGTTCAATAATCTTACCTCCTAAATGGCCTCATCTAACCCTAACTCTCACAATGATCTGTTTCTGAGAATTTTGCATATATCCAGCTGAAACTTATCCTCAAAGATGACTATTAGATTTCTCAAGAATTCAGTTCTAAATTATCTAAAATGGAATTCCCAAATTTTCTGTCCCAATCCATTTCTTCCCCAGTCTCTTTCATCTAACAAACCTAATTGAAACTTACCAGTTATTGAAGGGTCTGGGGTTTACGCTTACTTTCTCTCCTAAATATAATCTATCAGCAAATCTTATGAGTCTTACTAATATATTACAGCAGTGCTCCACATGTCCACTGCCAACCTCCTTTCCTAGACTGCCTGATTCCCCATGTCACCCTCATAATCAGTCTTCTCATTTGCTCTACTAACACCTCCAACTGACTCTCAGCAGAAATTAGAGGAAGGCTTGACCAAGCTCGCTGAATGAGGACGACACTCATTTAGTCTATTTCAGTGGTTTATCACTAAAGCTAAAATTCATCTACCAACATGAAGGCTGGGGATGATCTGCCTCTTTTTAACTTTCCAATTCTCTCCCATCTAATCCCACTCCATGCTCACACTCACTCAAAGAACTTTCATGTCTCATAAATGCCAAGCTACTTTCGGGGTTAAAACTTTAGCAAAAGCTATGTCTTTTCCTGGAATTATACTGTCCTGGCACTGTAGGTAATCGATGGCCTGTCTTCATTATATTTTCTGCTTAAATGCCAAATAATTGCTACAGCTTTCTGTCCATTGCTGCTAATATCCTGATGTGCACAATCTAGTTAAGCACTTTTTTCCCTTATGTCATTTCAGACATTGTAACACTAACTTTTCATGTTCTTTGGCTTACTCCTATTCACCCTCATACATAGCCAATTGATTGTGTACGGAACATGCAGTACACCCCCTTATAGCATCCTTGGGATATGGTATTCAAAGAAAGAGTAACAGAACAACAGTTTCCTTTCATGTCATGAAATAACTTTATACATAACATTTTCCTAAAATCAAAGTAATGCAGAAAAATAGTTTAAAATAATTTACTCAAATCTTATTAAAGTTGTTAAAAAAGTAACTATAATGATATATCTATTTTCTTATGATAGGCAAGATTTTATTTTTGAAGTTATTCCCTGTTTAGTCTGAATCTAGAAAAAACCAAAATAAGCATAATTTTCTTTTTCTAGTGAACACTGAAAAAAAAAACAGCAGAACATTTGTATTTTAACAAATTCACTTCATTATGTTAGTAATGAAATTCATCTAGGTTAAGTCAATGCAGGACTGTAAATATAAAAAATTTACATTCCTTTAATCTGAACATTTTCAAATTAAATTAAAATCAAATATGAATAGGTGTTAGAAGAAAATTTAAGTCATTTATTAAATAAAATACAAGAAATAAAGCAGAAAATTTTTTTAAAAGGGAAGGAAAACACAAAGGCCTGGTCTAAAGATAATTCATAAATTAAAGTATTTTATTCATGAGAATATTAATTTATGAAAACCCCCATTCGTTTTGTATTTTAAGCAGAAATTTTCCAAGCACTTGGTTGCATTTTTCTTCCTGCATGTAATGCAAGGTAAACTGAATTAACAAATGGTCTTTTTTTTTTTTTTTTGCATTAGGGATTGAACTCAGGACTTTGCACTTGCGTGGCAGGTGGCAGAACACCGAGCTGAACCCCAGCTAACAAATGGTCTTAGAAATACATTCTGGCTAAAACTTGGAAACAGCCAATCTGCCCATCAATTGGAAACTGGATAAAGAAGATGTGGTTTTTCTATAAAATGGATTACTACTCAGCCATAAAGAATGAGAAAGTAAATTCATTCATAGTTAAATGGGTACATTTTGAGGATGTACCCCTAAGTGAAATAAATAAGGCACACATATGCAAGTACCAAATAGTTTCTCTGGTGTGAAAAACTAAAATAGTACTCAAGATCCTAATGGGACAATTAGCAAATAAGAAGAAAAGGACCAAAGGTGTAGGGACAGTGAGAAGGATAGGGAAGAGGGAATAAGGGAAAAGGAAAAAATATGAGAAAATAAAAATGGATTGGAATTAAAGTGTTTGAACAGGGGAGTGGAGGGTGAAGGCAGGGTGGGGACAAGGGGAAAAAATGAGAACCAAGACCTGGCATGTAAAGGTACAAGATCCCAGTAATGAATGTAACTGTACTGTCTACCTAGAATGTACCAATAAATTAAATTTAAAAAACTAAGAAATACATTCTGAAAAAAAGAAGAAAATACATTTTGAAATTCAATAGTTTGGGGCATAGGTAGGAAAAAGAGAATTATATTACGACTAAAAACTTAGTCCTTTAGCTCATCTTTTCCTCCCATAATATATAAGATAATCAAATTCCTCATAAAATTCTGTAAGGCTGCCACTGATTGTTTTTCTCAAACTGGAGAATCTAACATCGAGGATGTTGAATCGTCTTCCATGAAGTGCATCAGGATCTCTAAAATATAGAGACTAAGGCATTGGTATTTACTGTCTGAACAACTCTTCTTTTAGCTAATAGTAGTGGTAGTGTAGTAGTTTACAACTAATGCCATTTCATTTGAATAAAGTCCTGCCCTACCAGGAAATACAGTTGGAAAGGATATAAAGATAGAGGTTATAGCCTTCCAAAATTCTACTAACATTATACATTATAAGTACCGAGATAATGGCAGATGATTGATAACACACACACACACACACACACACACACACACACACACACACACATATTTTTTTTTTAGTGCCAGGGACTGAACTCGGGTCCTTGCGTTTGCAAGGCAGGCCACTTCGAACCTCTGAGCTAAATCCCCGGCCCTATATTTTTCAAAGATAAAAATCCACTAGCATTGCCAGAGGAGAGAAAGCTGAACGCCATGTGCCTGAAGGTGGGGATGGCTACAAAAAGTCATTTTATATCCCAGAGTTACAGAAATATTTATTCACCAGGTACAATGCAAAATGAAGGGGAAGCCACAGATAAAAATGGGAA